AAGATAAGTGTGTTTGTCTTCCACTTGTAAATTTTCTACTGATGAATTAATGAAAGTGTTATTGATCAAAAAAAAAAAAGGAAGAGCCTCAATAAAGTCCATAGCAATATCCTCCCAGATCTGTTCAGGAACGGGTAAAGGTTGTAAAAGGCTAGCAGGGGACATGGCTTCGTATTTACTGCGTTGACACACATCACAGGCCTGCACAAACTCCTGGACAGAACGCTTTATCCCCCGCCAGTAAAATTCAGCTACTATTCGCCGATATGTCCAGCGGATACTAGCGTGGCCTCCTACAACTCCAGAATGAAACTCTTTAAGTAAGAGGGGAATAAATGGGGAAGAAGCCGGCAGAACCAATTTACCATGATAACGAAGGTGATCTCCAACTAAAGAGTAGGCGGGATAGGCAGCCGGATCATGCTATATGGCATGCTTAATGTTGGCCAGAAAAGGATCAACATCAACTTGCTCCTTAAGGTCATCAAAATCAAGAAAAATAGGGACTGTAAGAGAATTTAGGGGCCGCACTAATAATATGACCCAGGTATTCCACGCTAGACTAAGCAAAGATACATTTCTTTGAGTTGGCAAAGAGACGGTGGGCGCGCAACACAGAGAAGACCTGTCAAAGATGATCCAAATGGGCAGCTTCGAAAGCACTATAAACCAGAATATCATCAAAAAATACCAGCATAAAGCGACAGAGGAAATCATGGAAGATAGTATTCATTAATGACTGGAAAGTCGAGGGCGCATTGGTGAGACCGAAGGGCATGACAAGGAATTCGTAATGGCCCTCGCGGGTGCAAAATGCAGTCTTGGGAATATCCTCACTGCGGACCCGAACCCGATGGTAGCCCGATTTAAGATCAATTTTGCTGAAAATAGAAGCACCATGAAGCTCATCGAGAAGTTCTTCGATAACCAGAATGGGGAATTTATCTAGAACCGTAGCACGGTTAAGGGCTCTGTAATCCACACAAAAATGCCAACTTCCGTCTTTTTTCTTGACTAAAAGGACTGGGCTCGAGTAGGGGCTTGTACTTGGCTGAATAACACCCGCAACCAACATCTCAGAGACAAGGCGTTCAATTTCATCTTTCTGGAATTGAGGGTATCTGTAAGGACAAACAGAGATAGGGGAAGTGCCCTCCTGCAAGACAATAGCATGCTCCGTAGCCCGTGTAGGGGGTAAGCCCGTAGGCATATCAAAAACATCTTTGAACTCATCTAGTAAAGCGGAAATTGGCGGAGATGTAGGCAAGACAGAGTTCAACGAAGAATCCACTACTTGCAATTGTTTTAGTTCTAACAAAACCCCTTGTCCCTCATGTTGTAAGTTACGCATCATGGCATGCAAAGATACCTAAGAAGAACAGAGAGAAGGGTCGCCCTGCAATTTCACACGGACACCTCCCAAATTGAGCTTCATAGACATGTTGCCCCAATTCATCACTAAGTCCCCAAGGGATGCTAACCAAGGAAAACCAAGAATGACATCCGTAGAGCCCAACTTTAAAGGAAAGAAATCAGCAATGACATCCAATTCGGGTAAGTTGAGGCAAACCTGACGGCAGACTCCAGAAGTTCTCACCTCATCTTCATTCCCCATCTGAACAGCAAACTCGTGTGTAGGAGTGCGAGGTAATTTCAATTCTTCCACTAAAGCTTCGGAGATATTGTGGGATGCACCCGAGTCTACCAATATGATCACCTCACATGACAAAATGCGTCCACGCACCTTAAGGGACTTGGACGCACACAATCCAACAAGAGACAAAACACAAAGCACGGCTGATTCTAGAGCCAGAGCAATTTCAGTGTCCCCGGAAGTGCTGTCCAAATTAGACGCATCAGAAGTAATTTCCTCCACATCATCTTGAACCCATAAAACCTGAAGTGATTTCTGAGCACAACGATGTCCCATACTGTATTTCTCGTCACAACGGAAGCATAGACCCTTCACACGTTTCTGCTGCATCTCTTTGTCAGTCATCTTTTTGAAAGCAGGAGGTGGGGCCTTAATAATAGGGACTGATGAAAAAGAAGGAGGAATCGCGGCACGTGTAGGTCAGGTGACAACAGAAGAAGTCACTTGCGAAACCCGTGAGTTAAAGTGAGTTCCAGAGGGGGACGTTGTGGGCCCACGAGGAAATAAACCTGATTGATAAGCCCATAAGGCCTGATTCTTCTCAATTTTCTGGGCTGCAACCATTTTCCTGATCAACCCAACGGGTTCCATCTGTCGGAGTTCGGCCTGGATATCTGGGCGCAACCCACTAACAAAGGTTGCTTCAAGGACTGATTCCGGCAGGTCACATAAGGGAGCGGAGAGCACCTCGAATTGGCACGACGATATTCCTTAACAGTAGTGGATTGATGTAACGATAGAAGCTACTCCTGCAAATTTCCCTCCTGAGTCGATCGAAAACGTTCAAGGAGGAGCTCCTTGAATTCTGCCCAACTACGAAAAGGTCGCCGACCATCTTC